GTAGGGAAGTGGAGGCCGAGACCAGCTGGCTACACACTAACTTTTGCGTGGATGTGTTTTCCTTTTGGTTCTTGCCCCCTCATGGAAGCTGTCTCATCTAGCTCATGCTTGAAAGATAGTCATTCACAAATGAAGGACCCTGGCCAGGTATCCAAGTATATCATTCACCGTATCCTCTTCCAAGTACTCGGAACGCATGATCCTGGGAATCGGCTCGAAAGGTCTGGCGACAGCTGGACAGAGTAGCACGGGTGCTCCATTGCCTGCCAAGGCTCTGCTGCCTCAGCCCAGCTGCGTGCCCCAGCATTGGAGAGAGGCCACTTTCGCACATGCCTTGGAAGGGTAGACAGAGACTTTGGCAAAACTCAGTTCTCTCTCCTTGCATTTAGCAGTGGGCCCCGGGCCATGAGGAAGGGAATTGGAGGAAAGGAATTAGCAGCAGCGGCCCACCACAGGTCCCGTCTGGCATGAGGGGGCAGGTGTCAGCCTCCTCTGTACATGGTCATCGGGTTTTCAGCTGACTTGTCCAGGTATGACGGTGTTCTATTTCCACTTAGGTTTTACCCAGACTCCTTCAGTTCTGGCCAATATGAGCAGCAGTCGTGAAGGAAAATTACCGTGAGTGCTATTGAGGTATCCTCATGGTCAGGGGCCCAGTGTCCTAATGCACAGAGCTTTCGGTACACATCTGTTGACCAGTCTGGTGGAACGGAGTCTGAACCGACCCACGAGGAAGCTGGGAACTCAGCTCTGTTTACCTCCCCTCCACCCAGATTCCAGTTTGCTCAGGAAGTGGTTGTGGTGAGCCATCAGCTTTGACATGAAAAACTCATCCTGGTTTCATTTCCCCTTCAGGGCAGCCCCTGCATTTTTCCTTTCTTCTGTCCAACTGAGACTGCCATGCCATTCCAGGCCTTCCTGCGGCCTGGTTCACTGTCACAGCTGCCTAGCCGGGTACCTGGCTGTTAGTGTCTTCCTGTCTGCTCCGTCCCCCGTGCTGCTGCTGGCTTGCGGTTGTCCTACACTTCCTGTAATTTCCCTTCTTTCCCAAGACCTGGCTCTTGCTCCATTTGTTCCGTAGGCTGGTTTTTCTTGCTCTCTGCCATGGGGCACTCAGTCCTAGGCAGCCTGGCACTGGGCCGTGCTGGTTAGTAGACATGTATAAGGAGATCAGAAGGCCCTTGAAGACAGGCTGGCCGTCCAGTGCCGCACTGCCCGTTGTTTAAGGAGAGCAGAGTGCTCTTGTTGGTGTCTGGGAATGTTTGCAGACTGAAGAACGACCTGGGGCTGGCCGAGGAAAAGGCCACAAAACCCCTACTTGTTTTTGGACTTGCTTCAGTTTCACATCTACCGGGTAACTTTAGTTTGGAGTTTTCTTATCTCTGAAAGGGGAAGGGATGGGTGTGCATTATCTGAAAGGCTAATTTTCCTTCATTCTTGGCCTTGATCTCTTCTGAAATGAAAACCGATGAACTGTTTCTGGATCTCGAATTAGGAATTTTTCATTTCTTTGTAATCTTTTCCCTGACGCATTTTGCCGTTTTTTCTGGGTATGTGCTGCTAAAGGAAATTTGGCTTTGCAATTTGGCTACTTTTTTAGGAAAGCAGACAAAATGCCATGCCATTCTGTTTTTCCTACTCGGAGTGTTTCATTTGTGAAAGTCAAGTTTTCCGTTTGCTGCATAATTCTCACACGATCCTTGCTCTTTTTCCGCAGACACGATGAGGCGAGTGGTCCGACAGAGCAAGTTTCGGCATGTATTTGGACAAGCGGTGAAAAACGACCAGTGCTACGATGACATCCGGGTTTCTCGTGTGACCTGGGACAGTTCTTTCTGCGCTGTCAACCCCAGATTTGTCGCCATCATCATAGAAGCGAGCGGGGGAGGAGCGTTCCTTGTGCTCCCTTTGCACAAGGTAGGCGATTTGGCCTTCTAGTCCGTTAGACTCCCTCTGGCACCTCCATACCTTTTTTCTGTAGTAGATGGAGAGTTCAGTACGAATTGTTCATTTGCTGAGAACATCAGTCTCTGATGTAATTGAGGTTAACTTCCACACACCGTACCAACCACATCAGTTTTTCTGTAGCAGAATCATTAAACAGAACGGCGACCTCTGTTCTGGGCGTGGCCTCTACGGATGGAAAAGTTTATTATGATACCGTGACCCCTACCAGGCATAGGAATTTAATGATTTGGTTTGTAATCATCCACTTTTCCTATAAGTGTTTCTTTTGGAGTTTAGTTTTTAAGTGTTATGTCTTTAAATGGGTAGACATTTGTAAGATAATACTTTTCTTTTTTTAGGGGGAAGTTATTTATTTATTTACTTTTCAATAGTAAGTGGAACTCAAGAAAATGTTACAAAACAGTACAGATTTCAATTCTGGACAATAAGTTTGAGCATAACTTTTAAGCCGCGTTAACAAATAGTAGAAATGAGTGATCTTTACTGAGAGTGGATCTCTGTGTTCTTCAACTTAAATGGGATGCAAGTCCTCCCTTCTCCCTACTTTACCCTCCCCGAGAGCCTGCTCCAAGGCAGAGAAAGCAGGTTATGTGCACTCGCTGACGATTTATGAGTGCTGCATACTCTTCACTAGCCAATTCCAGAATCGCCAACAATGAAGGAAAGAAAAGCTTTGAATAGATCTCAGAAGCAATTGTTTCCCAGTTAGCTTTTTTTTTTTTTAAGGGTGATTTTTGCGATAGGGCCTGTGCACTCACTAGAGAGACAGAAAGCAAGAAATCACCCACCGTGGGGTATGGCCATGCTGCAGTCCCTTCTACTCCATTCTCCTCTTGGAATTTTGGGCACGCATGCACATGTGTGAGTTTTAAGCCACCGGGTCCAGGACTCCAAGACCTGGCTCTTGCTCCATTTGTTCCGTAGGCTGGTTTTTCTTGCTCTCTGCCATGGGGCACTCAGTCCTAGGCAGCCTGGCACTGGGCCGTGCTGGTTAGTAGACATGTATAAGGAGATCAGAAGGCCCTTGAAGACAGGCTGGCCGTCCAGTGCCGCACTGCCCGTTGTTTAAGGAGAGCAGAGTGCTCTTGTTGGTGTCTGGGAATGTTTGCAGACTGAAGAACGACCTGGGGCTGGCCGAGGAAAAGGCCACAAAACCCCTACTTGTTTTTGGACTTGCTTCAGTTTCACATCTACCGGGTAACTTTAGTTTGGAGTTTTCTTATCTCTGAAAGGGGAAGGGATGGGTGTGCATTATCTGAAAGGCTAATTTTCCTTCATTCTTGGCCTTGATCTCTTCTGAAATGAAAACCGATGAACTGTTTCTGGATCTCGAATTAGGAATTTTTCATTTCTTTGTAATCTTTTCCCTGACGCATTTTGCCGTTTTTTCTGGGTATGTGCTGCTAAAGGAAATTTGGCTTTGCAATTTGGCTACTTTTTTAGGAAAGCAGACAAAATGCCATGCCATTCTGTTTTTCCTACTCGGAGTGTTTCATTTGTGAAAGTCAAGTTTTCCGTTTGCTGCATAATTCTCACACGATCCTTGCTCTTTTTCCGCAGACACGATGAGGCGAGTGGTCCGACAGAGCAAGTTTCGGCATGTATTTGGACAAGCGGTGAAAAACGACCAGTGCTACGATGACATCCGGGTTTCTCGTGTGACCTGGGACAGTTCTTTCTGCGCTGTCAACCCCAGATTTGTCGCCATCATCATAGAAGCGAGCGGGGGAGGAGCGTTCCTTGTGCTCCCTTTGCACAAGGTAGGCGATTTGGCCTTCTAGTCCGTTAGACTCCCTCTGGCACCTCCATACCTTTTTTCTGTAGTAGATGGAGAGTTCAGTACGAATTGTTCATTTGCTGAGAACATCAGTCTCTGATGTAATTGAGGTTAACTTCCACACACCGTACCAACCACATCAGTTTTTCTGTAGCAGAATCATTAAACAGAACGGCGACCTCTGTTCTGGGCGTGGCCTCTACGGATGGAAAAGTTTATTATGATACCGTGACCCCTACCAGGCATAGGAATTTAATGATTTGGTTTGTAATCATCCACTTTTCCTATAAGTGTTTCTTTTGGAGTTTAGTTTTTAAGTGTTATGTCTTTAAATGGGTAGACATTTGTAAGATAATACTTTTCTTTTTTTAGGGGGAAGTTATTTATTTATTTACTTTTCAATAGTAAGTGGAACTCAAGAAAATGTTACAAAACAGTACAGATTTCAATTCTGGACAATAAGTTTGAGCATAACTTTTAAGCCGCGTTAACAAATAGTAGAAATGAGTGATCTTTACTGAGAGTGGATCTCTGTGTTCTTCAACTTAAATGGGATGCAAGTCCTCCCTTCTCCCTACTTTACCCTCCCCGAGAGCCTGCTCCAAGGCAGAGAAAGCAGGTTATGTGCACTCGCTGACGATTTATGAGTGCTGCATACTCTTCACTAGCCAATTCCAGAATCGCCAACAATGAAGGAAAGAAAAGCTTTGAATAGATCTCAGAAGCAATTGTTTCCCAGTTAGCTTTTTTTTTTTTTAAGGGTGATTTTTGCGATAGGGCCTGTGCACTCACTAGAGAGACAGAAAGCAAGAAATCACCCACCGTGGGGTATGGCCATGCTGCAGTCCCTTCTACTCCATTCTCCTCTTGGAATTTTGGGCATGCATGCACATGTGTGAGTTTTAAGCCACCGGGTCCAGGACTTGAACCCAGATTGACTATGTGGGAGTCCAGTGGCATAACCATTGTGCCATCTCCAGTTAGCTTTATTATTATTATTATTATTATTTAAATTTGATCAGAAAGAAACAAAAGGAAAGTGAAAAAAACAAGCCACTAGATCTGGGACTCGAACCGTAGTTAGCCATGTGGAAGTCCAGCACCTTAACCACCATGCCGCCTGCTGACCTCCCTCCCTCACTCCCCCCAGTTAGCTTTTAGGAGGAGAATGTGTTTGGTGAGTCCTGAACGCTAATGATAAGGACTCTGTGCTGTGCTGGGGAGGGTGCAGAGCTTAAGTCCCATTACAGCTGTCTCCGCTCTGCTGTGCATTGTTGAGGGAAGCATATCTTCCCCACCTCTGAGCACGGATATAGGGGCCCATCTCATAATGGACCATTATTATTTTCAGTTTATGAAAATAAACTGATTCATAATAAACTGATTTCTGTTAGAGCATTGTTTCTTATCATATTCTGATCCCTCTCCCGCCCCCTTTGGAAATATTGTCATTGGGTAAACTTCCAATATCTTGTACTTTTCTCTCAGAGGTGTTAATGACTAACTTGTTTTAACACCTGATTTTTACTGTAGTGGCTGGATTGATGTAACATTACACAATAGAACATCTTACTACAGTAGTAGGGAAATAGAGGCCTTTGGGGAACAGATGCGATATGTAGTTTCAAATGTACCTTCATCTTGGTGAACATGAATCTTCCCATTAAATTGAAAATTTTACAAGGAGAATTTTTTCAGGAAATTTAAAATTTATTTATTTATTTATTTGGAAGAGGTTTTTGCTATAGGGCGTATGAGCTTGCCAGAAAGACAGAGACAGAAAGCAAGAAATCACCCCCCCAGGGGGGATGGCCATGCCACAGTCCCTTCTCTGCCATTCTCCTCTCGGGATCTTGGGCACGCACACACATGTGCCTGGCATGAGTTTAAGCCACTGGGTCCAGGACTCGAACCACGGTCAATAACATGGGAGTCCAGCGGCATAGCCATTATGCCAACTGCTGGTTCCACTACAGTGTTTATAGTGTTCATAATTATGCATCCTTGATTTTGAGATCACCTCCCGGGGAGAATGGCCACATCACAGTCCCTTCCTTCTCTATTCTCCTTTCGGGATTTTGGGCATGCATGCACACGTGATTAGTCTCCACAATTTTTTAGTTTATTCTTTCACCAAGAGCAAGGAGCATTTGGAAACATTATCTTTTACTCTGAAGGACTTTTGGCTACTAGCTGAGAAGACAGCCAGAACTTGTCAACTCGGATCCGCACTGAACACCATGGTCTGGTTTAGGGTTCAGAGTCGTTAGCTCCCCTCTTATAGACCAAGGGATAAATTTAAGTCTTCTTCTTCTTCTTTTTTTTTTTTCCTTTAAAGAAATGGAACAAGCCAATTAAGAAGCCTAAAATAAACTTCTGAATAGCTAATCTTCCACTGAGTTCAGACAGTTCTCTTTCGACTTCCACATCCACAAAAGACTGTGCTGGTCCATCTCTGTTTTCACAAACCATGGGACACAGATCATTTCAAGGGGATCCGAATGCTGTTCCTGAGCTAGCTGGATCTTATGATCTGGCTTTCACTTGAATGAATGGCCTGCTGAATAGAATATGTGTTAATATTTTGTGTTTTAACCAGCCTTTCAGGAATTAGGATAGTTGCTTTAAAAAAGATCAGGTTTGAGTGAAGTGTCAGGGTTTGGATAAGCTTCATGGCGTTTCTTTCCCAGGTGCTCAAAGTGTCTCTGTGGCTTTGCTTTTTAAATGTTAATTTCTTGGGCTGGCCACATGGCCTAGTGACTAAAGAAACCAGATTTTACATGGTCAGCGTGTGGTTCAAGTCCCAGCCCTGGAAGCTTGAAAAACAAGCCAGGTGCTTGTGTTTGTTACTCTAAATCCTGACAGGACGGAAAAATGGAGAAGAGATTGCAGTGTGACCATGCTCCATTGTGGGATGCTTTTCTCCCTCTCCTCTCTCTGTGCGTCTGTCTTTTTCTGGTGAGCACATGTGCCCTCTGAACAACAACAACAACAAAATTCTTGTTTTAGAAGAGATAACCTTGGTGTAAACCGAGCTCAGTAACAACCATTAGAAATCAGCTCAATACTTGGGGTTATTGACTGCTGTAGTTGATAGGTTCACGTGTACTGTGCACAATTTATGTGTATTAAAGTATGTATATGTAACCCCAGTGTCAGAGTATACAGAGCA